TCTCTCTCTCTCTCTCTCTCTCTCTCTCTCTCTCTCTCTCTCTCTCTATCAATATCATTACTATTTATTTTGGCCGTTGCGAATCTGACTAAAGCGAACGGTGTGAAATATTCTAGGCTTACTGGGATTGCTATTGCTACCGTTTTTCGTGCTTGTATCGATAGTGATTCAGGAATGGCTCTCGATTCGGCAATGCTCCATTTGTATATAGTGAACTCATGGCGAATATTCAATTACAAATCGATTTGGGAGCACGATTCATACGGAAGTACAAGTTCCCAGTTGTTATTTTTTTTTTCTCCGCAGAAAAAGAAAACAATTAGCAGAATTGCAATCGGTGTTTTATCCATAATCACTGTTACACCATAATGAAGTTATGCGCTGGCGTTTGCAGCACACCCGGGGCATTCGGCCAAAGAAAGTCGACAGTTAATGAGTTCGCTGGCATTAAATGCATCTGGTGCAAATAAAATGGGCGAGCTATGCATCAGAAAGATTTATTGATTTTTGTTTTTTTCGTTCGTTCTATGGGATATGGTTGTTGTGTGCAATGTTAAATAAAATGGTTTATTTTATATTTTCGTTCGTATCGATAGTAAATCAATGGCACACAAAATCATTTTGCACACGAACCGAGAACCATGGTGGAAGAGCGGAAGGTGGGATGAGGGTATTCGATTTACTGTTAGTTGGATGCTTACACATGGATATTATTCTGTGTGTCGAAAAATATACACACATGATCAAATAAATATTTATGTTGTGCTTTATCAAGCCAGACAATCTCTATTGAAAAGATGGGAGAAATGAACAAGACAAGACACACATACACACAAACACAAGCACATAGCAGCCAGTCAATACCTAGGGAAAAGCATATAAAATACATTGCATTGATGCGAATCGTGATACGACACTATTCCTTATACTGTATATGAAAGTCAAGAATTGAAGCAAATAAAATACATTTCATTGAAAGCAACGACTGGCAAGGCTGTGTGATCGGTTTGTTTGATTGGATGGTCGGCCACCGTCAATTATATTACCGACCCGAAAAAATGCAATGGCAAAACGTGTGTCGCAACAACCGATTTCTACCGCTGATTTACCTGGCTGCAATTGCTGCTGCTGCTGTTTGTATTCCCAATCGGTTCGTTCTACTACACAGTGTGAGACATTTTTTTTCTTCAGATTTTCAGTTGTTGTTCTTCTTCTTCTTCCTTCTTCGTTTGTTCGTTCCTTCAAGTGAATTCCATTCCATTGCAAATTCACACTCTATACACTCGTACAAACCTCACTTGTTGGGTGAGCAACCCCAAAATCATCCTCCCCATTTACATTGTATATTCGGTCGTAATGGTGGTGCTAAACGCAAAATTGTTGTATATAAATATTCCGTATGAAATATAAGATTTTTGCACATTAATACGGAATGGTGATAGCAGACAGGGACAGATTAGATCTGGATGAGGGGAGAGAAAAAGGGGAGCGCACACAAAATTGCAGTGCAAGTGAGCGAGTGAGTGAAAAGTTGTAACGGCGGGCCGCAAACAGCAATGAAAACAGCACAAGGAAGAAAACAAGGAGAAAATATAGATCGATGACCTATTTTCAAGTGGTGTGTGCACACACTATTGAATTCGGATAAACACGGAAACGCGCGACGAGAACGAGCGAACGAACGAACCGTCCGTATATTTACGGTTTGTAAATATCGCTTCTGGTATTTGTGTGTGGGTATACTATGCACACGCACAGTCACAGACGAAAATACGGGCGAGAAAAAGGGGAATGAAAATGCAAAAGGTTCTTCTCTCTCTTTCTCTCTCTCTCTCTCTCTCTCTCTCTCTCTCTCTCTCTCTACATTTTGTGGTGTGCTGAAGAGAAAGAGAGTGAGTCCCGTATGCTTGACATAGTGCGATTATAAGCTTAGATTGAAACCGTTGCACAAAGTGTATGCTCGTGCCATTCCTGTGTATATAACTGTTGTGCTGTTTACTTTGCCGCTCTCTCTCTCTCTCCCTCTGTCCAATGCACAGTCGCATAGCCTTTTAAATCTACCAAATTGACTGCATACTCATTTTAAAACGGTTCCGAATCTCTTTTCTTGCCTTTTCGCTTTGTTTACATTTCAACGAAAAAGTATTACAAAGTTTTCGACAGGCTTTTCGACTGCTCCTTTCAAAAGTATTGTACAGAGATACATTTCCCATTCCGTTCATTTTTCCAGACACACGAAATTCTGCTGCTCATCACCAAATAAGGTCATTTTCCAGGAAACCGATGCTTTTCTTTTTCCATTATCGAATCCATTACAACTCACAGTACTGTGTGAACAGCATTTTCGAATTGTTGAAACATTCTTTTCAATTTTGAAGATGCCATTGTCAAAATAGCAATCGTTTCGAAAGGAACGGTCAAATAAATTTATCTGTAAGACATTGAATAAGAAAAATGATTGCAACATAGAGTAGGGAAAAAAATCCGCTATGAAAGTTGAAGTGATGTAGAGCTTACGTGTGCATAACGATGTAATTTCTTTGCCTTTTTAGAAATGAAGAAAAAAAAAATCAAGTATTTTCATAGCATTTCTGTCAGATTTATTGATTACAACGTTGACTAATCGTCGTTTTGTTTTCATTCCGTGCTGAAAACCGTATTATTGACGGCGGGGTAAAGGTAGAACAGCCGATCATTTTGTTTTTGTAGTTGTTGGTGTTGTTGTTTTTTTTTCGGCGGAAAGGAGTAAATTTTCTGCCACTTTAGCCTTCTGTGAAATGTTGTTGTTGTTGTTGTTTTTTGCCTCTATTTCCACCGAATGAATATATGTGCATTTGCAATGCCTTCAGTGTGCCATGTGTTTGTATGTGATAGAGTATGTGGCTGTGCATACACGAACGTATGGACGATTTGGCAAACGATATTGCATTCTCATTGTCAATACATGCAAAACCTGGGTAAACGAGTGTGTGTTATACATATTTCGTTGAACTTTTTATTTTGGAGGCGATTTGAGTGCTGCAGTTGCATTTAAAATATGTGTATTGTCAAAAATCGTGTCAAGGTTAGATGTTTTTACTCATATTCTGATTACATAGGCAGCTTGAGTATGCGGTTAGCAAGCTCTATTAAATAATGTTTTCAAATATTTCATTATGCGATGCGATGCGAAGGAAAATGCACTCAAGTGTAGCACTACTCACTCCGAGTTCACTCTATCGGCAATCGAAACATTGGGATATAATGTTCTCATCGTGATTGAGATATATGTATAAGTCGATTTTCTCACTTCCAATTCGATTTCCTTCCATCCATCTATCCATCTGGCTTTCTCCAGATACTTCGAATTTCAATTCCCGGTCCGAATGCT